GCCTACGTCCACTGTTATTGCTTGTGATGGATACAAAAAACATTAATGAGTTTGCCTAGAATAATTTGCTAACCCCTTTCTCATTGTTGGAGGAGGTTTATATACAAGTTTGAGATAAAGGAAAGAGAGAAATTATCAAGATTGCAATCAAATTAAAATTGCAACTCCGATATTCCCGTGATTGAGCGCTAAGATTGCACTGTCATCGGTGTTAATCTTATCTCTTCCGAAATATCCAATAATTGAACTTATCCTTGGTTTTTCAAGAAACTTCTAGAGTTGGTCGTGACTAGCTTGTGTTGGGTCGAGCTATCCCTCTCGACGAGCTTATGTTGAGTCGGACTAATGCTAAGTCGAATTGATTCTGAAGCGAACTATACCCTCACGAGCTTTTAGCTTTTCCAAGCTTAATGAAAAAATCACACACAACATCTGCCCCTTAGTGTTTGGTGCTCGTTTTGAGCTTCGAAGAGTAATTGTCCACTTTGACATTTAGCTCGAACTTTTTAAGTTGCATGCTGACTGCAGACTTGGCCAAGCTTCATGCATCGACCTTAGTTTCAATCGATGTGAACAAGACTTGGATTTTGCCACTGTATTCTTGATTCACTCGAAATTTGAAAAGAGGGACATACGAATAATTTCCATGCAGTCCTGTCGTATTAAATGTGACTGGCTTTTACAGTTACTTTTCGTCACGTGTGGGTGACTATAGCAATTCACACATGAAGTTGAGGTAATGTGGGATAACGGTTATGATTGCATTATTCTGATGGTTGATCGCCCTTTACGGATGACTGACATATGGATCCGTTAAGCGGTCAAGATTGCTCGACAAATAGAGGGTTGAGATTAGTCATAGATCAACAACTTAGGTCGAATCCTACCCTTTCATCTCCCCGCTCATCATTATAAAAGTGGGCTTTTTTCACCAGAATTGCACAGTTGCAAGAATTCTTCCACACCCAAAGTCATTTGCTTTCTCTTCTCAATCGTTGCTTACTAGATTCACTGCAACTATTTGGCTAGTTCTTATCATGTCTCATATTCTGGTAAGGGTTATTATCTTCACTCTTATCTTTCTTTTAAGTTTTCTTACTGTTGATGGCATTAGCTTCTCTAGCGTTTTGTAGGCCCCGTAACTAGGGTTTTAGGAGTGTTTAGATGGGTGGTTGTCGAAATCTTGATAGCTCACTTGAAACCCTAGGTTGATACGAGCTATCCTAGACGTATGAACTAAAGGCAAGTGTGGATACATCTCCTATAGTCTGAGCTCTAACACTTGGTCCCTTCTGTTTTAGGTATCTAAAAGCAAGCTAATTACACAATGTCTTCATCTAATGATAATAGCATTGCTCGTCTATTCAAGGCTAGTTCCTCGGCGACCTCAGCTATTCACGGGGGAAGGATCCCAAGAGAGTTTTCCGAGGAAATAATTGTGAGGAGCTCGAACAATTATGCTGCGGGCTCTTTAGATGCAGCTTTTACCGAGATAGCCCTACGTAGGGGCTCACAGTCCCTATGTTTAGAAAAGAGCCAAGTTCCTCGATTAGTCTAGAGGATATTGGTCGCATAAAGGAAATGTATGCAACCCAACTCCCATAGATGGCCCTAAGAAATGTTTCCCGAAAAGGTCCCCTCACGGGTTGGGTGGCGATCTTTGAAATCCTTTTGAGGTGTGCATGTCTGCCCTACCTCACTTCTTTATCACCAACATATTGAGAAGATTAAACATTGCTCCCTTCCAGCTCATGGGGAACTCATACATAATAATAGTAGTATTGTATATAGCTTACCAGATAGTTAAGATAGGTGAGCTATTGGTGGATGAGCTTGTCCACCTGTATAGATTAAAAATAGTCAGGACCAGATATACTAGCTCTCCAAGGCAAGGAAGACATGTTTAAATGGTCTGGTTGGAGTCCCAAAAAAGTTGGGAAATTGGGATTCCCAGTATTTCTTTTACCAAGCCGAGGAGAATTTTGTCAACGCGGAGCATCATGAGTGGCTCTGATATTTCAGCGAGCTTCCTTTTAGCGAGCATGACATCACCTAGCTCACTAAACTTTCTCACCTACAAGCGTACTATTTTTGCAATGATGTTGCGAAGTGTTACACCATCTTTGAAAAATGTAAGTGTTCACAAGCTAGCCTTTTATGTTTTTCTTGTATTAGGTCACTAATAACTCTACTACTTTTGTAGATATGTGGGCTAAGAAGGCAAAGAACTTGAAGAAAAAGATGGCAGCTCATAGAACTACCAAGAATCAGCCGATAACCTCAGTGAAAAAGCAGCTCGTGGGTCTTACAGGAGCGCTCAAGGTAGTGTTCTCGCGACCGACCCCCAAATGTGCTAATGGTAAGCTTGAAAGGGCCCCAAGTTCTAAGAAGTCCACAACTACTTCAAAAGCAGTTGCCAAGAAAAATGTACTCAAGCTCCACAAGGGCTTAATGAAGAAAAACATCTAGCTAGTAGAGGGGTCAGGGAAGAAAAAGAAGTCCGAGTAGTTGGAAGGCTTGGGAAAGAAAGTTGTCGAACCTACAGGTGGCTTGAAAAAGGTCTTGGTCAAAAGGAAGATCACTCCAATGATTAGGACAGCCATGAAAAATGGAGTGGAGGAAGCTCGTCTCGTTGACATGACGAGAAGAAGCTTGCCAAGGTAGATGAGGCTAAGATTGACAAGCTGATTTGCGAGCTCCTTAAGCGCTTAGGCATCTGAGCATCTGTTGTTAGGGATATCGTGTCTGAGCAACAATACGAGCTATTCAAGTCATCCCCCTATTATGAGCTGCTTTCTTGCATTTGCAACTTGGTCACTAAAGTACTAGTAGCTCACTCTTTCTATTTTGCTTCGAGTTCTTCCTCTCTTTTTTTATTATTACTAACGGCTTTCTCCTTTTCAGGCTTGCACAGCAACCAAGCTCCTCTATGATAGGAGCTATATGACTCTGGAAGGCTAGCATCAAGGCCAGAAGGAGCTTGAGAAAGCTAAGGAAGAAGTCTTGGCAAGGGCCAAGGTGATGGAGCAAGATAATGGGTCGTTGCAGGCTAAGCTTGATCGGCTGAAGAAAGAGCACGTTGTGGTCCTTGCTAGCAAAGAGACAGAGTTTCTCCAAAAACTGTCTCAGATTGAGGTTGCCAAGACTAAGGTGGACAAGGACCTAGCACAACAGTGGGTGCCAATAATAAGCTGGCTTTCGAGTTTGTCGAGGCTTAAAAAGCTAAGTTGGACTTGGAGGCTAGCTTCTCAAACGTATCAGCTAGCCTCTTCATTGAAGGGGAGACNCGTTGTGGTCCTTGCTAGCAAAGAGACAGAGTTTCTCCAAAAACTGTCTGAAATTGAGGTTGCCAAGACTAAGGTGGACAAGGACCTAGCACAACAGTGGGTGCCAATAATAAGCTGGCTTTCGAGCTTGTGGAGGCTTAAAAAGCCAAGTTGGACTTGGAGGCTAGCTTCTCAAACGTATCAGCTAGCCTCTTCATTGAAGGGGAGGACTGCAAGGAAGCCGAGGTGGAAGAAGTTAACCTTAAGAGGGAGGTTAAGAAGCTGAAGGTAGAAGTTAGGGACCATGCTTGGGAGATGTCAGTCTACTTGGTCCAACACCTTTGGATTTCTCCTTTCTCCCTACAATATGTCAAAAGGAGGTAGAGAAGATGAAGGCTAAGGTAGCAGGCTTAGAGTTTGTTTATTCAGACAGCTCCAAGTTTGATGAAAGCGAAGGCGATAAAGAAGGTGAAGAAAAAGAGGTCGAGGTCAAACAAGAGGTTGAGGATCCGACCTTGCCAATTCAACCTTCAACTTCTGCTGACGAGCCATCAAAGGATGCTCCTCAAGCTCTTGCTCTCGAAGACACTCAAGATCCTGCACCATAAGCTCGTTTGTTTTTTTGTTTTGTAGTTATTTTTTTTTAACTGAAAAATAGAACAATCAATGAAGTTGAATTCTTCCCATTCTCTCGTTGAGCAATGTTTTTATTTATGCGGAGTCATTTTAATTGTTCTAAGTGAACTTGGTTTAACGATTCGAATTTGCTCCAAGTTATATGTAGCTCACTTCTTTAAGAGCTTTTCGAACAACTAAGAAATCTTTTCTTGCAACAACGATTAGGGCTGGTCGCCTGTCTTGCGTTTTGGTAGTTAAGTTATGATCTTCTTTCTTTTGACATGTTTTACTCGAGTGTTTTTTGAGTTTTAACCTCGTTGTGTCATGGAATTTTTTACTTGATGAGTCCAAATTATGGCGTGGCTTTTAGAGCTAAGTTGCCTTTTTTCGAACTCTTGACTCCGAGTTTTTTAAGGTTTATTGCTTAGGTCGCGATCTTAAAATAAAAATTAAACATGAGAAGTTCTTAACAATACTCTTTATTGATAACAAATATTGGCCATAAGAGACCTTAAATGGCTGATAATAATATAGTAACAATATTAGACCTGAGCTGTTTACTAATAGTATCTTCATAGATGTTTGACGTTCCATGCTAGCAAAACCACTTCACCATTAAGGCATTCCAAGTAAAAGGTTCTTGGTGCGAGCTTTTCTCAGATCCTGAAAGGACCTTCCCACTTGGGCCAAAAGGCCCCCAAGTTTGCATTCTGTACAACGAGGATGACCTTTCTTAGAATTAGGTCACCCACCCCAAAGTCTTTGTTCTTGACTTTTGAGTTGAAGTATCTCTTCACTCGCTGTTGGCACCAGGCAACTCTTAGTTGAGACTTAGCTCGATGTTCCTCGATCAAGTCTAACTTCAAACGAAGGAGATCCTCATTTAACACTTTGTCAAAAACCTCTCGCCAAAACAAGTTGACCCCAACTTCAACCGAGGCCATCACCTCGCATTTATAAGAAATCAAGAACAAGGTCTCTCTTATCAAGCTTCTGGTCGTGGTTCTGTACGTCCATAAGGCCTCGGGTAGCTTGTCTACCCATCTTCCTTTGATGTAATCAAGCTTTTTCTCAAGGGTGTGCTTGATCACCCTATTAACTACTTCTACTTGACCGTTAGCTTGAGAANTAGGCAACTCTTAGTTGAGACTTAGCTCGATGTTCCTCGATCAAGTCTAACTTCAAACGAAGGAGATCCTCATTTAACACTTTGTCAAAAACCTCTCGCCAAAACAAGTTGACCCCAACTTCAATCGAGGCCATCACCTCACATTTATAAGAAAGCAAGAACAAGGTCTCTCTCATCAAGCTTCTGGTCGTGGTTCTGTGAGTCCATAAGGCCTCGGGTAGCTTGTCTATCCATCTTTCTTTGATGTAATCAAGCTTTTTCTCAAGGGTGTGCTTGATCACCCTATTAACTACTTCTACTTGACCGTTAGCTTGAGGCCGGTAGACAACGGAGAAGCTTTTCTTGATGCCAAGCCTTTCACAAAACAATTGGAAGTCTTCACAATCAAACTGTTTCCCATTGTCGTTTATGATGGTATGTGGGATTTCGAACCTACAAATGATATTTTTGTAGACGAAATCATTCAGCTTGTTTGAAATGGTGGTCGCCAAAGACTTAGCTTTAACGCACTTGGTGAAGTAATCGAATACGACCACTACGAACTTGACACCTCCTTTTCCCTAAGGTAAAAGGCCTATTAAATCAATTCTCCAAATTGCAAATAGCCATGGGCTTGTCAGGGTAGTCAGCTCTCAGGGTGGACCTCGTGAAATATTTGCGAATCTCTAACACTTGTCACATTTTCACACAAAGTCAACCTCATCGTCAAAAACTTTTGGCCAATAGTACCCTTGGCGGGAGTACCTTGTACGCCAAAGATCAGCCCCCAGCATGGTTTCCTCATACACCCTCATAGATTTTCTTTATATAGAATGTACTATGCATCCTAATGATTTATACACCACAAGAGCGGGGAATTATAGCCTCGCAATATCAAGCTGATTTTGCTTGAGAGTCTTGTCTTTGTTTCTTCACTTGGGGACTGTTCCATCTCTCAAGTATGCTGTTATTGAGTCCATCTAGTTATACCTTTGCCCTATTATCAAAACCGCCTCTTTTGATGTGAGGATGCTTGGACTTGGCAGGAATTTGACGGAGAAGGAATTTGTTGTTTCTTTGCTTATCACTAAAGCCAGGCAAGCTAGAGCATCAACCACTCTTTGCCTTGGAATCTGTTGAACAGTATAAGCCTTGAAATGCTCAATCTCAGATTTTACCTTCCGAAGATAGGATGCCATTTTCTCTTCTTTGGATTGGTATTCTCTGGAGACTTGATGGACGATGAGTTGGGAATCGTTATAGATTCTGAATGATTTTGCCCCCATTTCTTTGGCCAGGCAAACTCTCGTGAGCATGGCCTCATATTCTACCTCATTGTTTGATGCGGGAAGCCCAAATCTGATTGTAGCTTGGATTGGATCCCCTTCAGGACCTTCGATTAGGAGCCTAGCCCTTGCCCCATTTTCATTTGAGGACCTATCTACATACCAGGTCCACTACCACAAGCCGTCGAGTTTGTGCTCCACTGAACTATTCTCTATTGAGGTGCTTACTTCAGACGGGCTTGACTCTCTCTCGGGTTGATATGAGAATTTTGAGATAAAGTAAGCCAATGCTTGTCCATTGATCGCTATTCTCGGGAGGTACTTGATGTCATGCTGACTCAATTCCATGGTCCATTGAATCAATCTACCCGATGCCTCAGGCTTTTGCATTACTTTCTTCAATGAAAATTTTGTGAGCACATGCACGCAGTGTGCCTGGTAATGGGGCCACAATTTCTGAGTGGCTATAATGAGTGCATATGTTAGCTTCTCCATCTCTGGATACCTTGTTTCAATGTTGAGCAATCGCTTGCTCACATAATAAACTGGCCACTGAACTCCTCTTTCCTCGCGTACCAAAGCTGCATTGATCGTGGACTTAGATATCGATAAATACAATAATAGGGGCTTGCCTTGGACGAGTTTGGATAACAAAAGAGGCTGCCTCAAGTGCCTCTTTAACTCCTGGAATGCTTTCACACACTCCTCTGTCCATTTGAAACCTTTATTGCCTTTCAAGGTTTTGAAGAATGGCAGGAATCTATCAATTGGTTGAGAAATAAATCTGCTTAACACGGCTACTCACCCTATCACACTCTAAACCTATTTTATCTCTGTCAGACTTTGCATGTTTAGAAGAGCTTGAATCTTGTCCGGGTTGGCCTCAACACCTCACTTATTACCAAGGAAACCCAAGAACTTCCCCAGACTTACTCCGAAAGCACACTTTAAAGGATTCAACAACATTTGGTATTTCTTGAGGATACCGAACATTTCTCCCAAATGCTCGATGTGGCTTTTGGCAACCTTTGATTTAACGAGCATGCCATCAATGTACACCTCCATGGTCTTACCAATTTGTTTGGTGAACATTTAATACACCAAACGATGTAGGTCACCCCAACGTTCTTTACACCAAATGGCATAACTTTGTAACAATAGATACCCCGATTAGTAATAAATTGGGATTTGATTGTATCCCGAGTATGCACCCATGAAGCTATGGCTTTCAATCTGAGGTAGCAAAAAGTTGTCTTTAGGACAGGCCTTGTTGAGATCTATGAAACCGACACAAGTTCACCAATTTCCATTTGATTTCTTCACTAAGACCGGATTGGCAAGCTAGTCTAGGTATTTCACTTCTCTTATGAAGTTGATGTTCAGGGGCGTATCAACTTCATTCTTGAGCGCTTGAGATCGCTAAGAATCCATAGACATCCTCTTCTGTCTTATCGAGCTAGCTTTTAACTCGACGTTCAATCTATGACACATCACTTCGAGGCTGATCCTGTAACGCCCCACTTGAGGTATGTAGCTAATGTTTCTCCTTTTGCTCTTATTTGAGTCGGTTTATTAGTATTATTTGTTTGGTTGGTCTTTGATTGAGTGGTATGTTGAATACTTGCCTTGAAATTGGTTGAAAATAGAAGAAGTTTATTGTTCCCGTCTTCACCAGGGCTAAGAAGAATCTTCGCCGCAGTGAAGAGGTGTTAAAGCCAGGGAAGCTGCTGGACAGTTTCACCGTGGCGACAGAAGATTTTTCGCTGCGGCGACAGGCCAACCAAAATGTTTGTTAAGTTTTAGATATTTTCTTCCCTAAGGGCAATTTGACCATTCTACCCCTAATTAGTAGGAAAAGTAAGGAGTAAAATGTAAGGAATTTGCTTGGAGAATATGTTAATATAGGGATGTGTTTGTAATGAATCAAAGGATATAGATGGAATTCCCAAGGAAGAGTGAGGGCAAAATGGGAATGCTTGTGCATAAATTGTATTAAAAGGAATTAAGTCATTGCAAAACCTTTCATTCTTCTTCTCCACTGCCACTCTCCTTTTTACTTCCTCTCAATTTCTCTTCCAATTGTTCAAGGATTTTTAGAGGGCTTTTGGAGTGATTTGGGGTAGAAAATCAATCTAAGGCATCCTAAGGGAAGGATTCTTGCTTTGGATGTGAAGTTTTGTGAGATTTTATGTATATTTGAATATTGAGATCTTTTGGTTGAATTGTTTAATTGTTTAAAGGGTAGAGGAAAATCAAGCAAACCAAGAGAAAGGAAGAGCTAGTGAGATCTTTCCATCACAAGTAAGTAAACCCCAACCCAAGTAGAGATTTGAGAACTTTTTTGAATAGAGAGTTAATTGCAATTATGTGTGTATGTATATACATGTGATATGCTATGTTACTAAGATTTAAATGGAGATAATTATTGCTTTATGGTTGTTCATACACTTTAATTATGAGAAGTGAGATGTGGGCTGGGAATGTAGTTTGAGATGGAATTGAAGGATGTTGAGAAATCCTTTTTGGCAGTGTTATTCTATGGCAGGATTTATGATTATGTGAGGGAGTTTTCTCCCATTTTGGATGGTTACAGAAAGACATAGAATTATTGTTATAGTAGAGTTTTGTTATGCACTTGAGTTGTTTGATGAAATACCTAGTAGAGGTTTGNAGAGAATCTACAGCAGCGACAGATTTGTAAAAAGGAGTGGAAAGGGGTTTTTTGGGGATAAAAGTTTTAAACCAGTCAAAACACCCCAATTTGGGGTGTTTTATAAACCCCTCAAAAATACACTACACTGATTTTGGGGGGTTTTTAAACAAATCAAAACCAGCCAATTAAAAATCTGGCAAGTAGAGGTTTTTAAACACCTCAAAACCAGTCTAATTAAAAACCCCCCAAAACCAGTGAAAAAAAAACTCCCAAGCAGACCCTAAGGTAGTTCCATCAGGCTGTTGAAAGAATCAAGGTGGTCTCTGGGATCCCCTTTCTCGTCGAACTTGTTCTCGAGCGCCCTGAATCCCTAGGGAAGCGAAGCCTAACAGACTTCCTTCGTGAATGGAGAGCTTACTATTTCTTTTGCCAAATTGTTTTGGTTGACTCTTAGATCGTCGAGCATTCTCTACACCCAATCTAAATTCTCGTTGTGAGGAGAATTCTGACTATGACCTCTATTCAACCTTACCTCGAGCATATGAGTCCAGAGATCAGTCGCTTGCGATCCTACTTTAGGCACACTAGTGCGCGAGGTGGAGTCATGATGGCTAAGATGGTAGGTGTTGTCATTGTCCTCGCTACGTTGCTCACGACTTTTGTTAAAACTAGAATGTTTGTTATTGCCAGATTGGCATGCATGGCTAATCTAGCGGGCTCGTGAGGTTTGAGCTCACCTTTGGCATGGGTTAAAACCGGCATGTTGGTGTTGGGCATTTCGTCGATTAGGACGAGAATCCCTCTAGCGACCATTATCCTCATTTTTCCTCATGAGCTGCTTGTCTGATCACCTTTCAAGGTTAACCTGCCCTCGGGACTCATGCTCATGAGCAAAAAGTGCCCTGCAGATGAATAAGATTTGTCGCCAATAGAGTTGTTCCACCATGTGGGTGTAACCTCTGTGAAACGCAATTGATCGAGGTGTTGGTTGGCCATCTGCTCGTTTCTTAACTCAGCCACGTTCTGTTGTACCACCTGTACAACCAATGTCCTTATCCTCTCCATCAACTGGCCATTCTTAAGATTAGAAGTCCCTACCCCTTACTGATGTACGACCTGTTGTGTTAGTGGTATTGTCCGTCAGTATAGAGCAGTGGTCTGATTCACCTCTTAGTGGGCAACTTTCACATTGTCGTGGTTTTCGATAGTTGCTTTGGATCTAGTACAGGCCATTGGGAAGTTCAGGTGATTGGTTGTTCACTAAAATTGTTAGTTTTTTGTTGGAAATAAAAGAAATAGGTGTAGGCCTTCCTTCTAGCGCCAAAATGTTAATATGAAAATCGCACCAACCTGAGAGAGATTGACCTTGATGGAATCGGAACTGATGTATGCATGATTTAATGATAAACCAACAATAGAATATAGAATACTAGAAAATGAACACAAAAGGATTTTTAAAGTTGCTCAGCAAGTTAGAACTTGAGCCTACATCCATTGTTATCTTATTGCTTTTGATGGATACAAAGAACAATAATAAGTTTGCCTAGAATAAATTGCTAACCCCTTTCTCATTGTTGGAGGGGGTTTATATACAAGTTTGAGATAAAGGAAAGAGAGAAGTTATCGGGATTGCAATCAAATTCAAATTGCAACTTCGATATTCTCATGATTGAGTGCTAAGATCGCGTTGTCCTCAGTGTTACTCTTGTCTCTTCCAAAATATTAAATATTTGAGCTTACCCGGTTTGTCGAGCAACTACCAGAGTTGGTCTCGACTAGCTTGTGTTGGGTCAAGTGATCCCTCTCGACGAGCTTATGCTGGGTCGGACTAATGCTGAGTCGAATTAGTTCTAGGTCGAACTATATCCTCGCAAGCTTCTAACTTCTTTATAGTCATAATGTTTGGACCAACTAAATTTATTACTATAAGGAGGTTATAACTTAATAGAGGTGTAGTTACAAGAATTATTGTTTTGACTCAAAAATTATTATTTTGATTTCTTATTTTATAATTCATGTATTAGTAGTACAAATGAATTAAGTGATCAGATTCAACAACTTCACTACACTAATCAAATAGATATGAATATCTTCCTCAATCATCCAAATGAACAACAAGTTGTATATGCTTTAACTGAAGAAGAAATCATTACTAGAATTAGACAAGAAGAGGAAGGAGATAATCCCAAGGATGATAGTATGGAAATACCAAAAGTTTTGTGCCAAGAAGCTCCAAACATGCTTGAGAAGCTAGAAATATTTTGGCTTCAACAAGCAGGTATCCATGTTGGCGACTTATTACATACCCATAAGATAAAAGATCTGGTAACAACTCTAAAGGATAAAT